TTTATGAACATATAGGTATTACATTTTCATATATATATTGACGTGCCACTGTCACTATGTTTATTTCTTTAAATTTCTGCCTCAATGAACAACGATTGCCTAAATTACAAATTGCTTTCTTCTGTAGCACAAAAATAGTTTGAATGGCGGCAGCATTCCCCCACAGTAGAATACCATACGGCATTATACTATGCTATACTAAAATAAGTAAGCTAAGTAAACAAGTCGTGCTGTATCAAAATCAGTCAACTCTCGAATTTTTCTTAATGCGTATACTGATCTGAGTCTACTCGATAATTTATCTTCGAAAGGAACTTCGTTCCGACCGTAGACCCCTCACGCCTCAAGCTAGAGCTGCACTATTTACGAACACATGTCTAGGTTTTATTTTACCCATTTGATGATCAGCCCCAGCCGTACCTACTACGCATTAGAAACAGATTGCCTGTACTGTAACGATTTGGTTGGAAAAGTTCGTAAGATAACTATCATGACCTTAAATCATTTACACCAACTTATCCTTGTTGTTTGTTTCAAGCTCAGATCTGATCGAAGTGGTCTTCCATATTATGGGCCTATTATGAAAGAAAATTACTTTTTAATAGAGTTGGTAAAACCCGAATGAGATTCCGCCCCTTTCTACATATAAAAGGCCTATTACAAACATATAGATAAAAATCCTAAAGCAAGCTTAAAGTTTTCTTGTATAGTATAAAGAAGAAAAATATTGTGTGGACAAGTCATAAATCAAATTGAGACACTGTGCAATCTAAGCGAGCGATGGGGGTTCTATTTGAATAATATTTATTTCCGTAAGTAAATCTTTTCAGATATTTTTACAAGTCGGACTTTACAGCTAGAAGGAGCCGGCATTTCCTAAGACTCACTCTGGGAAGAAAGGCCGAAACAAACCACAGAGCTGTCTTTTATTTTTTAGGTCCAAATTTAAATAAAACTTTGCGAGTACAGTATAGGGTCTGGGTAGGCCTTTTGAAGAAAAGACCATAGTTTTGAGTCGGCCTGTTCATACAGACGGCATACAGACTCCAGCCATCGTGTAGCCTAACCAATATTGGTCAAGATCAACGACCCGAAGCATGACACTACCGCCAGCAGGACATTTGGGTAGACCGTGGAAACACTCAAAACCACCAGAAAGTTACTAAAATATAAATTAACATTACAAGCCTACACTATACCCACATTTACATACTTACACAAAAAAAAACCATATAATTCAAATTCAATGAAAAATAAACAAGTTAAAACAAACAAAATACGGAATACACCAAAAAAATAATTAAATGTCCATCAGTTTCAAACTTAACAACAAAGATGGGAACGTAAATGTGGAAGTGAGCAACAGCAATCCCAAGCAAATTTGATTTTATATAAAAATAAACTTGACTTTGTGTTAATCAATCTATTGGTGTCCCTTTTAAAAAAGTGAAGTAAAAGAGTAGGATATCGTAAACAATCGCTCGCAAGTTTCGCTAAAAATTAACATCAAGAATAGTCACCGCAAGCGCCAACATTAAACTTGATATCAGCTAAAAGTTAAAACTGGTACGTAGATACATCAAAGCATTGAGTATTATATCAATGCATCAAAGTGACAAGCTTTTGTTCCCATGAGCACACTCGCGGCTTTTAAGCTTCAAAAGTGGAACGCATTTGTGGATTGAAAATAGGGGCTGCATATTTGTGGATGATTTTCTCAACATTTCATCAACCATTTTCATCGTAATGTTTTTCATACTTAGATTCTTTCGAGTGTGTAATATGGTGAGGGTAAGCCCCCATTGAAATCTTAACCTATCGCAACGAGCTTGCTGTCGAGAGTGAGTTGATATGAAGTAAACTCGCAATTGGCCTTCTAGTGCTAGTCAAATATTGGCACCATTTTTTTTTATAAGAATGCTGATTTGTTTGCTTTGTTGCTAAGAAACAGTTGTAGAAAATGTTTTTTTACGAATTACGTACTACATACTATTAAAAAATCTAACCTCTAACCTTTTATGGTACCTATACCTACCTATATTTGTATCAACAATAGCCCAAAATGATGTCAGTAAAAATTCGTAAATGTTCAAATAAATATTTGTTTACGCCATCTGTTTATTACATGTAGCAGGACAACTTAACTGTACTACTTAACTTAACAATAAAACATAGTCGGACACAAAAATAAATAAGGGAAATATAAATGTTTCATATATCGAGGGCAGTCATTAAAAACGCATCTATCAAGGGATTGAAAGCTGGCTGCTAACGACTTGCATGTTACGACACGGAACTACTTACTATAAGTTGTTCAAAAAATTCATTTCAGGAAAATATAGAAAATGTGTAAACTTTTATAAAAAGATACAAAAAAGCTATTTATACCTCATAATTATAATAATAGGATAAAATCTCATATCACAGAACAGTGAATAACAGTTCTGTACCTCATATATTGAGAGATTACAAGACTAGAAGTGAATTTTCCTAAATAATATAGAACCGTGGATACAAGTACTTAACTGTTGCTGACTAAGAAAAATAAATATACAGAACAGTTGAAGAAAATGTTTTTAGTTTTTCTTCTATAGCACTCAATTTGTTTTAATCTAATCTAACAGTGTTCCATATATTTCGAGCATAAAAGAAAAATAAAAAGTTATTATCCTATAAAGAATTGAACTTCAAGACTTCGTTATTATATTTTTACGTGCTTGTTTTACTAAACTTAAAGACAAACGTACAATATAAGTCGTTGAGAAGATCGCAAACATATTAAGCACTTCAATTAGGTATTTGAAGGCGCATTGCGCTAAAACGCTTAAAGCCCATGTGTCTCTCTCTGTCTGGCATCATAATAACTGTTATAACAATATTTTTAACGTTAAAAAGTAACCTTGGCTTGACGTACTCGACAATATAACTCGGTTAGTTTACTATATATATCAATATTTTTGTGCCTAAACTCTCGTACCAATAGATTATTAAGCCTCAATTATTATTACTCTACGCGGCGTTCACTCGCAGACTACGCGACGTTCGCTATCCTCCTTTTTTTTTCCGTGCGTAAATCCCCTCGGCTACCACCTATCGGTGGCATGTCGGACTCGAACCGACTAAAACCGCACGCCGTCTCGGGTACTAATAGCCAGGGAACCAGGTATACCCTAGAAAGGAAGTCCCTCTATCCTCCTGGGAAGGAGGCGGTGATGATGCGGTGCCGGGTGGCTCTAATGAGCAATGACCTTAACTTGTTCCACCTCTTGGAGGAATTATTTCTAAAAAAACACGAAACCCTTTCTTATTTATTTTTTTATATTAACAAGAGTAATCCTGCAAACTTTCAAATTGCAATTACAAATTAGAATGTTTAATCCTCAGATTGATCACTAGTTAAATACCAATACTATTGTATTATTGAATAAAACTAAATTTATTAGATTTCAACAGCACTGCGAAGAGAAGTAAAAATTGGAACCAACTCTATACTCGTACAAACCCGTCTGGCCAGCATGGTATTATAGACCAAAACCTCCTATCTGAGAAGAGACCTATGTCCAACATATGACTATTAAAGGGGGTTGATGATTAGATTTACCTTGCCTAATGTCCCTGTGGTGACGGATTAAGAATACGAAATGTCACCATCTCTATTCATCCCGTGGGTGTCGTAAGAGCGGTGTCGAACAAACTACGCAGGACAACAGCACTGCAAAGAGAAGGAAAACTTGAAACAAACCCTTAACCAACCCGTCTGGCCAGCGTGGTATAGTCGGCCAAACCCTCCTTGCAGCAGTGGACTGTTATAGGCTGTTGATGATGATGATTGATGATGAATGTCAAACTAGTTAAATCCAGTAAAGGTCAAAGATACTGAAATGCAACTTTTCAATCAGGCTGTTTTTCTTTGAAAACGTTTAGACTCTAAATTTCAACTCTTTTGTGTGGACTCAGTTCTGTGGCCCATTTGTAAAACTACTTACTTTAGCTAATTCCACAACATCATGACATATTGCTTGTGTGGTAACTGCCGTGTGGTAATGCTGCTACTAATAATAATAATATCTCACACACAGCCGTCTGATTCCAAACTAGGCAGAGCCTGTGCTATCGTAACCAGACTGCTGAGATATGTACTTATATATTTTTAAATACATACATATTATAGATAAATTACACCCAGACACAGAACAAATGACCGTGCTCGTCACACAATATTTGTCCTGGGTGGGAATCGAAACCACGACCTCCGGCTAAGCAGTCAGGGTCACTAACAACAGGCCGTCTGCTGGTCTAGTGGTTAGTGTACTAGTCTCTGCAATCTAAACTAATACTATAAAGAGGAATGATTTTTTTGTTTATTTGTTTGTTTGTTACGATTTAATTCAAAAACTATTGGACCGATTTTGAAAATTGGTTCACCGTTAGAAAGCTACATCTTCACCGAGTGACATAGGCTATATTTATTTACAAAAATAATTAGGGATCCCTACTAAAACGTGAATAATGTGACCCAAGGTATAAAATTATTTGTCATAAAATGGATCTCATCGCATGCGCTGCGTAAACTATTGATAATAGAACAAAACAATGTACTACAATATAAAAGAACATATCAATGTAATATATATAAATAAGTCCGCATGGCATATGCCTATCTCCGACGGATAACTCACAATAACTACTTTTACTATTAAAATTTTAGATTAAAAATAATGTTTTTTTGCGAATCTTATTTAACACATATGGTATCAATTTATATCTAAACAAATATGTTTGTTAGAATGGATATTTAATATATAATATTTGTTTCCTCAACTCTATATACTTTAAACCAATATCTTAGAAGATATCGCAATATAAAATATTCGCGCGTCGAAATAGTTACGCGCGCGGCAGTCATTCGGTCCGGCCGGGCCGTTGGCCGTCGCGTCGCAATGTAAGTACGTGGGGATTCTGGCCTCCGAGAAATTCAAATTCATAATATTTATTGCACCATGATGTTTACAAGTACAAGGTCTTATTGTATATTTAATAGTAAGAGATACCTATATTAATCCTCACTTTAATATAATCTGAACTAATAATATTATAAAGAGGAAAGACAGGTTTGTTTGTTACGATTTAACTCAAAAACTACTCAACCGATTTTAATCAATCTTTCACCATTATAAAGCTATATCTTCACCGAGTAATATGTTACTCCCTAATTATAGTTATAGAGATATATTATATTTCAATTAGGCTATATTATATTTTATAATAGTTACGCCACAATAACAGTCTTTGTTTAAAATATTAAGTTCAAATACGGGTGTAATCAGAATCAAATAGTGGTGATATTAGTATCATGATATCTTTAGCCTTAGATGATTAAGGTTGCTTATGAGTAATGTGCATGAGTTCTGTTGTAAAAATCAAAGAGTTTATTAAACACACCTTCTTTTAGAAAGGTTACAATATCATTAACGATTTTTAAATTACAACTCTTTTTAGCAATAACATGAATTGGCCATTCTCTTAAACCAATGTTGGGTCTTACTTTGAATGTAACAACATAAAAAGAATAAAAAGCACCCGACTGTGTTCCTTAAAGCTTCTTCTCTGTCAGTCTCAGTCAGCAGTCAATTGTAAGCTTCAGTAATAGTCTTCAATGATAATAAAGCTATGTTGTTTTATTTAAATGGTAACGTTTATTAAATAAATTAAAAAACAAAATGTTATTGTTGCAGGTGCGATCCCAATGGTAACAGCGACGGTATATTGTGCGCCATGGTTGTTACGGTACACAGCTCTCATGGTCTACTGCCTCGGAAGCCTACTCGGGCTTTATAAGGTAATGAATGTCTTATGCCACAGCCTGACTTTAGCACTAGTTCTCCAACACTTTTTAGACTAGTATTCAATAGCAAGACAACTTAAGTAAAATACATGTATACTTTAGTGTCATCAGATTAAACGTTCGTAGTATATCTACCATATGGCTTTATACCTTAAATCGGGACTTGTTAGTACTAAATAACGCTTCTGATTCCAAGTCTCTAAGAACGTTGTTGCTAACAAATTGAACACCATAGTCTGCAATAATTATTATTATTTAGCTTCACTTAAAAAGAAGGCGGTTCTTAATTACTACTCAATGTTTTTATGATACGCTATATCTTGAATTGAATATAAAGTTAAGAGATAAGAATACAGCTTATAACACCTTATCTTAATTCGATATTTTTTTAAATCAATAACAAATAGTACACTCGTAAAATCGGGATAGATTAAGAATAAAGTAATACCAAAAATAAAATAGTTCAATCAGCTAAATAAATTTTATATTTGCGTAATATTTATATACTTAAACACATACTCGTATCTCTAGGCAATGCGTGCCTGGTCTCCGTGGGAACGAAGGTTGTGCTTTGCGGCGCCGTTCTGCATGCGCGTGCTGCTGGCAGGCGCGCGTGCTGTTCGTCTCGGTGGAGGAGATCCACACGCTATACTACACGTATTCTTACAGGTATGTAAGTCTTCTCGTACCGATATATGGAACGACGGGTTCTTTACAGAAAATCGCCTCCGTCCTAAGACAGTCTAATCGTTATATGGAGGGTTACACTTTTCGTTAGTACCAGAACTACTGTATAACAGAAAAGTAATGAACAGTGGATAAATTTGTCACCTTACACCCATGTCACGATAGCTAAAAGTTATGGCTAGTAGAGTAAGGGCGTGTAGAGTTCGATGCTTAGCTCTACATTTGATTTGAAAGCTTTTTGACAGTGCAAGCTATATGTCTCGTCTAGGCAACATTTTACATGACAATAGGGAATTTTAGAAAAAAAATCTCAAACTTCAGCTTTCTAGGACTTCAGGAAGTACCCTAAGGATTTTAATGATCATCAGTGAGTCAGTGACGAAATCGGGGCTTTTTAGATATCAATAAGTAACCATTTTTATAGTTTAAATTTTACAAAAAAAATCCTTATTTATGAAGCTATTTTAAAGAATACATTATTATTCCTTATCCAATTAAATACGTTAGATACATTGTGCATTTAATGTATAATAAAAATTTAATGAATATTTTAGAAGATATTAGAGGTTTAAAATGCGGGGGCAAAGTAGACGTCGGGCCGTACGTCCGTCCCGAGTGGCAACGGCCCGCAGGAATAGTTGGGGAGCCCATGATGCTAAATGGGGATTTACTCAAGCGTCATGAGGACCTATTGTATTTTAAAAATTAGGTAACAGAAAAAATAAAAGCTACATAATGTTTCCACTTTCAGCGATGGAAAAAGCTTCTACAGGTTTTCAAAACTGTAAAGGGAGGCAATCAAAAAAAAAAAATTGGTTGCCTGTAAAGTCGGTATACGGGCGAAAGTTTTACGTGACAACGACTTTGAGTGGTAAAATAATTTTAATGTGAATATTCATTCGTATAGTAGGAAGAAGGATGAAATAATAGTAACAATTTAAAACATTTATTTATACAAAGAATTATATTTAAAACATTAATTTATACAAAGAATCTCGCACTGAATTTCATATTAACAAAATTTTATTTTTACCTTTACACATACGACGCGTGCCTCTCACTCGCTCTCATTGTGAGCGCATAACGTGAGCGGAGCGTAACGCAGTTTCTTGAAGTGTCACCCGGCAAACCAATTTATAAGACGTTGTCACGTCAAAAAAAACAGACGAGATTATTTGGACGCCAAATAGCTTCCATACAACATAACATAGTAACATTCCATTCGCAGAAGCTAGTAGCGAATTATCGAAAATGCAAACTGCAAATTCGAATAATCGCTATTGAAATACACGAGCGTGTTAGATTTTATAGACAGTTCAGTCAATGTTCCTGTTATACTATCCAAAAATCTGACCTATTTTGCAGGGTATTTTAAATCCGACGGTTTAAAATATTTTGATTTTTTGCTTTTTTATTTAAATGTGACAAATAAAGGCACGGTAATTTATTTAGACATTTAAAAAACCTTTCTTTCATTGTTTGCTTCAAAATAAAAAAAATGTAAAGGCCTATTTTTTGCAACTTAGTGACCTTCCCACTGTTTGACGTCACGTTCAAATCGTCTGATTTTTTTAAATACGCACTAATGTGTATGTAATTGGGTGAGTACTCAACTGGGTGTCCTTACACCTAGTTGAGTGCCTTGATTCCTCATATGTTAATCTGAAACGCTCCCGAAATCCCTTCTAGGGCTCCCCTCCTAGAACGGAGCGGTATAATTACTTTAGCGATCCGCCCCGGCTTCGCACGGGTGCAATGTAGATGATACTACTAGTATTAATGTGGTTTCAGTGTAGAGTAATTTATTATACTATTATTATTTTTTATTATTATGATTAAAATATCAGTATCCGTAACATCAAGCGACTGTGGTAACATTTGCAAAATGTTTGGTTCATACTCTTCTAGTGTTTATTCATCAGCAAGCCAACCAGTCAACATCTATAGAGTTACTATTCCGAATAATTTAATATAACTTATCTTAGCCGCGAAAATATTCTAAAAAGACTTAAATCTTTGGATGTCACCAAAGGTTCGGGTTATGAGGTTTCCCCGAGTTTTATATCGGAATGTACTGATGACCTTGCGCTACCTTTAGATTTAATTTTTAATAAATCTCTTCGAGTTGGATTTTTTCCTGACCTATGGAAACTTGCCAAAGTAGTGCCGATATACAAGGCAGGTGAAATTAATTTGGTACGTAACTACCGACCGATTTCTATTTTGTCAACTCTAGCAAAGATTTTCTACTCTTTATTATGCACATTAATTCAAAATTACTTCAAAAGGTTCGTATCAAACCACCAATACGGCTTCATCCCGGGTAGGTCAACTTGTAGCAATTTAGTGTCTTTTATTGGACATGTCGTTTAAGCAGTCGACTCAAACAAACAAATCGACGCTATCTACACTGACATTTGCAAGGCGTTTGATAAGGTATCTCATGACTTCTTAATAGGAAAATTAGCTGCATACGGCTTTGCTGGGTCTTTTCTCTAATGGCTTTCTTCATAATCAGCTGATAGATCTTTTTACGTTGTAGCCCATGGTAAAAAACTAATACATATAAAATAACTTCCGGTATAACTCAGGTTTCACCTACCTAGTTCAGGACCTAGGTGGTCCATTATTGTTTACTATTTTTATAAACGATCTGTCAGACTAATGATGAGAGAGATGATCTAAAAATTGTTAAAGTAATAGAATCGGATTTAGACGTAATGTTTTGTATATATATAATCTGAATCTCGGAAACAGCTCCAACGATTTTCATTAAATTTAGTATGCAGTGGATTTCGGGGGCGATTGTACCAAAAAATACATCATCTAGGTACTAAGATATAATATCACAATAAAAAAAGATATCTTAAGGGCCTCCTTAAGATATCTTTTTTTATGGTAGGGTAGGGGGCAAACGAGCAGACGGGTCACCTGATAGTAAGTAATGGAGGCGATGAAGTTGTTAGTATCGAAAATAAGCAAGTGGACTGTATATCGTACTGGTCTATTATATTTAGAGGAATTTTACAATGTTAACAAATAATACAAATATTTAATATGAGCGCGCGACATACGCTTCGCCTCAAGATCGTCCGAGGAGTGTCGATGGGACGGTGGGTGCGCGCGGCCCGTGCGTCTGCTGCTAATGTTATATATATGAATAATTATTATTATTTATTTATTACACAAAAAACAGAAACAGGAACTCCAAAAATATGTTACAATTTTTGGTGATACAAAAATTGAGTGTGAGTGAGTGAGTGCTACGATTGAGTTATGTCTCCTAAACTAGGCCGTGAGACGTGTATCATAGGCAACAGTGTTGGGCCCAAGGATTAACAGAGTCTGATCTCCAAAAATGGTCGAGTGCAAGGGACTGTGTCAATTTATTTTTGTTCCTGGTTACCTAATGTGCTATATGTAATTAAATATGTATGTATGCGATGTAGGCTAGTAAAGATTCTGCTTTGGTGTAGTCCTGTAGTAGTAACCATTCCTTGACTATCTATCGGATTTTAAATGTATTTGGGTCTCCTACATTAAGTTGTTTTTGTACTCTTTGGTAAATATGTGCACTTAAAACATACAACTGGTGCTTGGTGAAACTTGTTCTGTAACTGACTCCTTGTAGGATGCACACTTGCAATTCAAGAGTTACAAGTGAGTCGCCATCCTTTGAGCTCAAGAATCAGGAATGAAATTGAAATAACGCGATATTTTTATTAGCTCCTTGCTTAAAATTGTAACTAAAATCGTATTATATATATTATGTATACTCGTATGTTCGTAAGGCGTCAGGCTCATAATCGTCGATCATTCAATATGAACGTCGATCAATCACAATCTCGGTAAGCAGTGATGGATGATTATGAGCCACATTTGTATAAAGAACTAATGGATACCTAACGTTTTCTGGATTCATGATTCATTAAAAAAAAACCAAATTATATATCTAAACTTTGAATATTTCAAGCGTTATCTACTTAACTATTATTTTGTCATCTATATGAAAATTACCAAAATAAATATATTCCAATTTTTGTTTTGTTTGTAATTTTTGTAACGATATTATAATTGCCACACATTTTGATGTGATTGACAAATATTTTAACACGCGATCGATTTACTGGAAACAACGTAAAATAACCAGTAAGTACTTTTCAGCAAACTGGAATCGACGTAATAATTTCGTAATCATAACGATTCAGATTTTATACAAAGTTTTTTTAATGACCTAAACACAATACAAGTAAATGAATTCCCAGAGTACATGAGTGCAGAGTAAAACCAAAAGGGTCTCATATAGATATGGTATCATATTTACATTCTTACGTACAGGAATAATTAATCTCCATAATGCATTGTTATTATGTAAGGTTAAAACAATTCCCCAACCCCTTACATTGGCGTACAATGGCCCTGGCAAGATGCCAATCGACTGCCACCCGGTCTTGCATTCTCCGACCAATAATAACGAACGATTTTGTGTGCTAAATATTAATCGATCTTCGGGAATATTCTCCTTTTTATTCCATTCGGATATGTGGATCCATTATTGAATTTCCATCTCCACATCCCGCTGAGAACCTTGTCGCTCTCCAGCAACATCCTCTGTCTCCGTCGACGACTTAGGGATACGTTTTTTTTTTATTTATATACTAAAAAGTTTTTTGTATGACTAAGGTTTTAATCATTGTTTTACTTAAAATACATAATTTATATAATATAATATTTCATCATATTATCGAATTTTCTGAAATTATAACCATCCGAAACATTTCAAGCATTTCAAAATATTTACATAATAGTAAAGATTTCTACACATACATTACACAAAATTAATACATTAATGGAACGAATGTTTTAATTGCGGCCAAATGTAATATTAACATGTTAATTATATTTGTAAACTCTTATAATCACGACGACGACAGGACCTAAATTCATCCATCAAAATCAGTAATCCTCTCTTTATGAAAGGCTCCTGAACGATGGCAGAACGGTGTATAATTGGATGGCGGTGCGTAAGACTATTACCATCGTTATACATTTATAAACGAGACCGCAGTTCTACGGCTTCTAATGGAAGGGCATTTTAAGATACACTCGAGAATAATAAATCTAGGTCACATCGAAACCTAAAAATCTCGGCAAATAAGAACGGTAACTTAGTAAAATTCTAGCTGTACCCCACCACCCTGCGTCGCCGTGGCACATTGTGGTTGCATACTGCTGAAACAATCTTCGAATCGGTTTGTCTATCAAGTCAAAATTTTAGCTCAATCGGTGCAGCTTTTTGAGTTTTTAAAGCGTACACAAACCAACATAACATTTATAAATATATATAAATTAATATAATTAACTTGAATTTCTGAAGTGTTTGTACTCTGTGTTAAATGCAAGTGCTACCATTATTACAAATATGCTGTTTGGCTGCTGTGTGTGTGCAATTTAAAATCGGTTAGTTGATCGGGAGAGGCTTTCCTTATTCTCACACATAGTCCGAGCTCATTCAGGCTGAGGCCCATGCTACTCGCGAGCCTCACCATACAATTAGAGTTCACTTCTTAAAGGTAGTCAATTCTACACGGATTCATTTCTCTTTAATGTAACTTTGCTTGAACAAACCTACAGCGGTGAGTCTTTGGTTATTGATGTTATTGGTTATTCATATTCGAATATCTTGTGATGATGATGTTGATGAACAGAATATACCGTATACTTGTTAATCACAGACGGAACAAAATAATGATGAATATTTTTAACAGTAGGTATCATTTGAGTATTTATGGTGTTCATTTATAAGACGATGAAAGAATATTGTATGTCTTCTTGTACATCCTTAAAAACTGAACCTAGGCAATATTTACAAAAAAAAGAAAAAAGTTTGGTTAAAATACTGAATGATTATGATACGAATAAATATGTAATAAAGGATAAAAAATAAAATCTCTTTTTAGAACACAAATCTAATAACTACGGTCATTTTTAAAAAACGTTCAAGTTTTACAGTGAATTTAAGTCTCATCACTCCCTTTGATCTCTTCTAGACAAGCTTATTGTTATTAAGTATTTAGTTAGCTGAACGGGAGGCACAAGTTTTCTTTCTTGTTTTGTATTAAGCAAATATACGGTACGGCTACGTAGGTACTTGGGCACATATTTACTATTTCTCAGTATTATTATTGATTATATAGATTAAAAACATAAGATATAACAAATAGAATATGATTTGGAAGCATAAAAATGACTAATTACTCATCATGTAGGTCATTAAACGTCATCATGTGCTTTTGTACAACCTTCGTTGTATCAAAAAATAATCATCAAGAATACACTCAACCGTCATCTCTCTTAAGAGTAACTTCCGTGTTTCAGGACGCTGTCTCCCTAGGTGGTGGTGTGATCGGCGCGATGCATATCCCGGAGAAATGGTTCCCTGGGACTGTAGACCGGTGCCTTAATTCGCACAACATCATGCACGTCCTCGTCGTGCTAGCTGTCTACTCCATGCACCAGGTCTGTAGTAAAACCCCTCAAGTCCCTATATAGTAAATCTATTATATGTACTGATGATGTGATCTTGGTTTTTTTTTTATTATATCTATTGCACTGTATTTTGCAGTAATAATCTTATTACTGCGAATTTGTACGCATGATTCACTATGAAGATTGCCGAAGTTGTGTATTTGTAAGTGTCCAAGTATATTAATAAATGAAATATTACTTTAAAAAATATATTTATTACAATGTCATAGACACAACCCACTAGATGGTAGTAGCATCGAGGCATTGTGTAACTGGGTCACCAGTTTCCTAGCAGACAGAAGCATTAAGATCGTTATCGACTGTGCATGCTCCGACTTAAAGTCTGTAAATGCTGTTGTCCTTCAAGGCTGTGTGCTATCCACACAGTTTCTTCTCCATATTAATGATATGTTGCAAACCAGAAGCATCGATCGAATCGGAAACGTTGGCATATACGTATCGAGCGAAGTCCAATTCCGCAGTCACTTACAGAGTAAGACCAAATAAACCTCGAAGAAGCTTGGCAGTATTTCACTCCGACCCACTGCCTGCAACTCTGTAAGGCGCAAGTCCGGCCGCATATGAAATACTGTTCTCATCTCTATGCAGGGGCACCCAGAGACCAGATTCTCCCTCTGGACTCGATCCAACGAAGAGCGACTCGAATTGTCGATAGCCAGAAGATCTCCAATCGGCACAATTACGTAGAGATGTAGCTTAACTCTGTATTCTTTATCGTCTGCATTGCGGAGAGCGCTCCAAGGAATTGTTCGGACCTTTCCGTACGACCCGTCTGATTGTTTGCCGCCATAAAAAAATATATTATTTCTTATAGAGGGTCTTATACCCCATCTTCTACGTACACTTAAATATCACATAAAACTTTAATTATCACAATTGCAGGTTACAAAACGCGACCTGGAGTGGATGTCGCGGGTTGACTGTGGTGCACCACTTCGCCACCTTTGACGCAGAGCACGTCACATTGTATCCAGCCTTTTCTGCAACATTCGCTCATCACCTCCGTCTGTTCCACTCCTTTACTCACTTCTACCCAATACGCGCACGCTATTAGCTTCCTAAGTCACTATGACTTGGAGCTGCATAGAGCCGTAAGACCAAACGAGTGGACTACGTAATTTTAAATTTAGAACACTTAACGTACTGTAAATAATACAAACTCTTTTATAATATGAGTCACATTTTCGTTGAAATAATTTCCGACTTGATGTTTAATAATATTCATTCTACTTAAGTGACCAAAGTGCAATTGTGATTGTCATTTGCGGATACACGCGGACGAAGTGGGACAACAGCATAAATTTTGAATTGGTGTGTTTTATGACTAGATTATAATGTATAAAACGTATGAATTTGGATTATTGCTAGGTTGTTCACAAATATGTCAGGTAATATTCAAAAAGTGTAAACTTACTTCATGCACGGTATCATTATTGATTATCAAGTAAATGGAAATTATTAATATGAAAACACGTTAACAGTATAATTGATAGAATGATTTAAAGCATTTGCGTGGTGGCCAAAATTAAATCCCTCCGGTATGTAACAGAACATTCAATAAATAGCTCTAAGCACGCTTCGTGTTCCCACTTTTTGCCCACCATTGGAACTCATAATACCTATGTACACTTTAACTTAGTCATAAGTATGTGTTAAAAATACGGAGTCAAAATCACAAAGGTCTTTGTTTAAAAGTAGTTAGTCAGTCTTCCGAACTTTCGTCTTAAGGTCGGATATGGTACATCAATCTTAAATGTTGTAAAAGTAGCTTTGACAACTATGTTTATGGATACAAGCTCGCTTATGTGCAAATGCTGTATCCGAACCAATACTAGCTTTTTTGCAATAGCCCATGAATCAGGCAAAAATCAGACCTGTGATGCCAAACTATACCTGTCAGCAACGAGACAGACATAGGTGTGAATAGGTATTCCTCTTCCTATATAAATATCTATTGAGCATTATTAATAAATAAGTCAATATCGTGTTGTGTTATCAGGAGGTGTTAAGAGAAGGGAAAAAAGTAGGCACTAGTACTTTATTACTACACTAGTTACCATTTGGTCTTATGGAAAGTGGCTGTAGCTTAATCGTTAAAATAGAATTCGTAGCCTTTTCTTGGGCCGGCTAGCATAAAACTATAGGAGTTTGTTCACGAGTATTATAAACATATCTGGAGGACGTAACGATGCTTATATTACAGCCGGAAATATAAGGCTATTAAAGAGACAGTCGTATGTTGAGTAAATGTGGCTTAACCAAAACACGTGTTGTCAACAATAATATTTCTTGAAGATCGTAACGGTAACGAGGTAAATGATTTATAAGTGTTGTGATTAGTGAATCTAGAACGTGCTTGAGCGCTTGTTATACACCTATTATTAACGGTTTACCGATACCTTGTTATCTGTCCACAATTTACAAACACGTCAACATAAATAACCTGAACATTCAAGTAAAACTCTTAGTGTACATTCACCGTCATTTTAATCACATTCACCAAAGAAAAGATTCCATAATTTCCATAATTCCACTTTTTTTACGCGGCCAATTGGGTCCGAGTGGAGATTATTCCCCGGGCCCTCTCCGCCGCCTCCTTCTGCGAGATGACATCTTCGCAAAAAGCGGCCAGTAGCAAGGGATTCTCTCATATGTCTGCAATCGGGACCCGACGCTGCGACGCCCAAACCGGACATATTGCCAGCGTGTGTTAAGCCGACTCCTCACTGCAATCGCAGTGGTGACAGGCGGCCGAGTGTGAGTAGCGGTAGTACACGTACTGCCTACAGCCGTGTCTAGAAAGGACATGCGTCAGTCGAAAGAAAAGTGTCCCGTGCTGCCGCCCTGCCTGCCCCCTACACGACGGAAAACTACTAGACGGAAAACTGACCAACGAGCCATCGTGGCTCGACGAGCGGCCTTACTCCAATCACGTACTTCTTCGGGCGGGGGCGGGGGGGGGGGGGGGGGTCCTAGGTCACAAAGGAATTACTAATTTGAAATCTGTTCAATCGATTTTCTTTTGTTTGAATTAATGACTTAATTATCGGTTTACAATGTTTTACGTCTGACCGTTTTTTAGTTGACACACACATGCTTAAATATCTTCACAGACATTTTCAAATTAGCAACTTGTTTAATAATAATCTTGTATCTACACTACCTATGATCATTTTTTAAAAGGTTTGTAATCAGTTTCATGCAAAATTTATCATAATTAACTGTTCAATAAATCAGGTTACTGCTAATACACTGACAGTTCTAGACCTAGTCGTAACTGTAAAAAAATGATGATATTTTTATTTTTTCATGTGCCGGGTTTTCTTTGAAAAAAATATGCTATCATAATATGCAACAATCAAAAATTAGTATTAGAATCAACCTGCTACACATTATCTATCCATATACATATAATATTAATAATAATACATTCTTTGAAATTGTTAAGTTGTAGACACGCTTCGAGAACTCAAAAATTCTACACCGATTGAGCTCAAATTTAGACTCGATATACAAACCACTTCAATGACTGTTTTTATCCATTTTTCTTGTTAATATCGTTCCTCGTACAGTTGGTAAAATTAAAATAATGTTATTTTGCTATGTTAAACATAAAAAAGATAATTCCAAGTCCAACTCCTAAATATGTATGTGGTATAAATATTTTTTTTATTTTCTCATTGCGGGCTGCGAATGTCTAATGGTGAGAATGTATTTGCTTAGTTGTACAGAAGTCAATTCATACAAACTTAGCACTAAGTCTCAAAGGGACGTTTAGGTGACTAAAGTGTATCACCACCAAGCCTTGCTACAGTGACGTGACTGTAATAAATGGGATTTTTACACTTTTTAGGCATACTTTTTTTAAATATTCTAAGTTTTGTTTGTTTATTGCAATACAGTTTATAAAAAATATAAAATTTGCTAACTACTACTTTACAAAGTCCCGACAGAAAAGAAGAAATCAATCTTATTTTTTCATATAACTGCGAAAACATTTATAACAACAACTTTATTAATACACTTCTATCTAATTTGGATGACGTAATAGGTTTATCCTATGGGCCAGTTTAAAAGGATGATGTGAGAATAAACAAGGCTTTAAGCGACAGTCATTGTAGAAGAAAGGTATTCTTGTGGTAAATATCTTGATGACCTTGAATTGAGGGATTTTTCTTAACTAGATAAACCGATGAAATGTAGAAGAAAACCGTTGGTTGAAACCGCTCTTTGTCCTTCAACGCGGCATATGTTATCTTTAGATATCCTACTTCTGAGATAACAATAGTAATGCTTGATTTACCTCAGCCACAACAGTCGCGCCAAACAACCTAAAAGCATCTCAAATTCACGAAACGTTGAAGGTTGAATAATATATAGTGTATGGTGCCGGCATAAGAAATCTATTACAAAGGCCCATTCATGATTATATCCATGAACGCTAAGATGCTGCAATGCTAACGAAACCATATTTAGGATATTTAAGAACCGGTTTAATTGATCAATCTCTTAAAGTTAATTAACTTAATTGAAATGCATTAGGGCGAAGCAGTATTGTGAAATACCAATAAAATCGTTAGATGACAATATCGCGGCCTACACAATAGAATTAATATGATTCGTCATTACTGTGTACTCTCTAATGTACAATAATAATGTACCATCGTGAAATGAAATGCATTTTACTATGATAAGTTAATTATGGATACAGTTATTTAATAGGTAAAATAGTTAGTACGATAAGTTTATGACGTACGAGTATATTAGCAGTTATTTTAAATAAAATGAACACATAAAATCTTAGTATGCTTATAAATATAGTTAAATATATTTAACTATAACACTATTCCATAGATTAGAGTAACTACGAGACTATTACGGCTTCGAAAATTGCGCTTGACAACATGAAGAAAGGTAGGCCAATATACAGGGATAGTTGCACCCCCTTATAGCTGTGTGTCAACGATGATGCCTATAACAAAAAGTATATGACGTAGCCAAAAATAATAACATTAAAACTATTATTGCAATATTTATCGCCGAAATTTAATAGCTCGAATAAAACATTAGATATCGTTGCAGTAAATTAACACGGAAGATTTATAGTCTTTGAGACACGAGATATGAACACCGATTGCAGCCCAGAAGTCCGTACCTGTAGATGTATAAATACAGTTATGCTCCACTTACACAATAACACTTGCTCCTTTTTTTCCAGCTTACGTAACTAGTATTTCGTTTACTGCATGCAAATAAATACTGCAAATAAATAGATAATAATATTATTGTCAATTAATTTGTTAACATATCAACTCCTTCACTTTTAATTAATTCGTGCTTTATAGATATAATAATCCAGGAACAAGTTGTTAAAGGTGACATTTATTGTCACTGTAAAAAAAACGATCATAACTTTTATTGTAATGCTTGTAAGTTTGGATGCTTAAACGGCGTATTTAGAGAAATCTGTAAGAGTTATTATTATAACTAGTAACAAAATCCTAATAATTCTTATTCCTAAAGTCTTTCGTCAAAGTTGAAAACATCTTTTAACCTAGTCAAACTTTTCAAAATTTAGGCGTTTTCATTTATATTTTTATAAAATTGTTTGCGATGCCATCATACTTCATAGTACGAAGTAGTAGTTACGACAAAAAAAAAATCTGCATGCATTTTACTGTAAACCTACTTTGAACTAAACACAAGGTCAGTTTTTGTCGAAAGTTTTCTTACTCTCTATTTATCGCTCTAATTTAGTGCTTCCTTCCCTTGGAACCGTCAACTACTATGGTGATAGAAGATTTGTTGGTATATTTTTATATTCTTGGTGTTGTGTGCTTTGCTGTTTAGGTACATACAGAGGCATTGCGAGATTCAAATTCTCATTGTACACGTCCTCTTGTAACTAGGTTGATAGTTTACCAAACAAACTAGAGGTAACTGTAGCG